TTTATAGTAAATTTACTAGAATTTTGTATAAAAAATCAAAAATTTTATTTTGAAACTTTCTGATTGTAACTTTTACGAACAATACTTAACATTTAGTATAATTACAAAATTATCTATTAAAACTCAACTTCATTTAATTCAATTATATCATAATTTATAATATTTTATTTAACTTTTTTTTAATAAATAAATAGATTAAATAATGAAAAATTACAGAGTAAGTCTCCATCTCATGACAATATAGCATAAAGCACCATATCCTAAAGATAGAAATCAGAAGCATAACCTACAACACTAGTAACAGATTTAAACTATATCCATGACAGATATAGACAATTAAGTAAAGAGAGTCATCTGCAACTAGAGATTGTGATTACAATTGCTATATGGGCTACATAAAGCTACTAATGTAGAAAGGAGAGTCACTATGAGCATCGGAAGCTACTGGACCTCCTCACTTATTTAACCAACTTCATGGGAAGAGTAAGGGATTTCAGCAACAAACAGTTCCCAACCCATAAGTTGCTACCCTATCTATTCATTGAGGAATAATCAACAAGAGGGGCATGGTCCTCCATCCAAGCCTAGGCACCTTCCTCATCTCCATGAGCTCCCAACCATGGCCCTAACTATTCTAATCCTCTTTAATCCCATGTTGCCGAAATTCATTAAGGGAACGAGAGCCCTTTTAGCGATTGGAATAGCATTCTCCCCTTGTAGAAAACCATCGGCTTCACCAACAGCATTCCTTTCCTCCTATTTTCAACCGGAAAACCCAATTGACTGCCATTGACACAATCATTTGTCCTTGGGGATCCACCATTAAGCCTCTCATACCTATTAATTGGTGTACTTGAGATGCATTTCCTCTAGCTCCTGAAAAAGACAACCACCCGGATCAACAATTACAATAGCAATAGAGGATTGTGAAACAAACGATTGTTGTAGTTGAGAAACATTTGTCTAAAGCAAAACCAGTCCACCCTCCCTATTGACCCAATCAATGGTAAAACCGTGTGCAAACCCTAGATCTAAGCAAATTAGATGCATCGCAATAGTGGATTGCTTTGTTTCAGAAAGGAAAATGATGCTGGGCTTGTGCAGGAAACAAAGCTTCTTTAGATCTGAAGTCACAGAGTCCTCCCTAAGACCTCCCCAGGCCAATATGCGATTCAAATCCAAGAAGGGAATAAGGAATCGAGACAAAAAACAAGAAATAAAGAGGAGGGGCCCTGAAAAAAATAGGGAGAAACACTGAAGTGAGAGGCTCACCCACCAGTGATGAAAAACCCTAGCAACGGCGACGAGAGAAAAAGAGACTTCTAAAACTCATTGATAATATTTTATTTAACTTAATCATTAGTTTATTTAAAAATTTCATTAAAGATTAAGAACTCGTTCTCTTTATGACTTGTTCTCATGTGAAAGTCAAAAACACA